AAAATCAACTCTAGATAAAGAATAGATCTGAACACGATGGATAAAATAGTAGAATCTCTAGAAGACAAGGCAGGAGGCATATTCCTAACCTGGGACTAGGGTTAGATTTCCAAACCCAATGAAATACCATGATGAAAACGAGCAATGGACTGGATTCATAAAAATTAAGAACTTGTAAAGGATGCACAGCCAGATACACAACAGCTGCTTATAAATCAATAGGCGAGACAGTGACCTGGTACAGACACAGATGTGATGGGGCTTGTTACCAAGGAGATGACCAAGCCTGAGGGAGCTGAGCCTCCTCCATCTATGGGAACGGGAACTGCACCTGTCACCGAACACCCGGGACGGCCAGCTGCTGATGGCTACGCATAAAGGAGCAACAACATGGCAGTGTGGCTATCCTATCTGTCAGGAGGAGGAAGTTAGAATGACCTTGGGGACATTATTTGACCTCACCCTCTCAAAATGAAAAATATATTTATTCCCAATGCCACTTCTGGTTATGTCTATGAAACAGAAATGCCTACATATGTATCTCAAAGACACTCACCGTGTTACAACGTCTCCGGTAGCATTAATCATAATGACCTGAAATTAGAAACAGCCCAAGTATCTGTCCACAGATAAATACCTGCAGAAACATGTTATGGTATCTTCCTACAGGGAGATCTATACAGCCCTGAAAATGGACTAGAGTGACGGAGTGCTCTCAGAATCAAAGTCACAAGCAAAGGCAAACAGGCACAGAAGAATGCATATTTCTGACTCCATTTACATAAAGTTTTTTTTAAAAGACTGGACTAAATCCTTGAGTCCAGGGATGGATGTTAGTACAAATGACTGAGGCTGCAGTAGGCTGGGCAGCCCAGTGACAACAGTCCCCGTCCCCAGCTCTGGATTGCTCAGCCACCACCCTGGTGGGACCGTGTCCCCCGATTGTGTCAAACCATAACCCCCAACACCATGGGGTTCGGGATGGGGACTTAGGAGGTGACTGGGTCATGAGGGTGGGGCCCTCGTGCCCAAGATTGGTGCCCTTCTGAAAGAGGCCCAGGGAGGCCCCGTCCCTTCTGCCACGCAGGATCCCAGCAAGGAGGTGCTGCCCTGTGGCCTTGGGTCTCAGGAGTAGTCCATTCTGAGCAGGGCCAGGCCGAGGGGCCCACGCCAGTGACCGGCCCCTCCGTGTACTTGTTAGCTTTCCTCTGTTCCGGCCAGCTCTTCCTGCTCCTTGGGGTCCCTTTCCAGATAAACCCCCGACTGAGACGCATGTTAGAGGGGAAAGCCAGGAAGTAAACAGAAAAGTCAAAATAGTGACCCCTCTTTGTTTTTTCCTTTTTTTTTGCAGTACTGGGGATTAAACCCAGAGCCTTTACACTGAGTTACATCTCCAGCCCCTTCTTATTTTTTACTTTGAGAGAAGGCCTTGCTATGTTGCCCAGGCAGGACTCAAACTTTTGATCCTCCTGCCTCAGCCTCCTCAGTGATATTATTTGGCAGGAGTTGAGAGCAGAAGGGGTCAAGATTGTGACAGCTGGAGGAGGGGACATGGGGGGACAAACCAGTCCATTCCAGACCTGGCTGGCGGTGCAATGTGTGAGCAGTCACTGAGGTTCACTGTGTGTCTTGCACTTTGCTGTTAAATAAGTTCAAAATGTAAAAATCATGAATCATTAATTCGTGACAGACATTGTTAAGGTACGGGATTAAAATAATTCGGAAAAACATGAACATGTTTATTAGTCGTAAAGCTGGCGGTTGAATGTTTAGGAAGTTCTGATTCTACATCCTGCAGGTCCAGGTCCCCCTGGACTTCGTCCCCTGGGACCTCAGGCTCCCAGGGGTGGCTGCTGCTGCCCAGTTCCCCCAGCTACCCTGACAGTGTTGCCAAGGGAACAAATCAAAGTACAGGATGCTGGTGCTTCCTGGAACACACCGAGATGGAAAATGACCTGTGCATCTGAAATTCAGATGTAACTGCACATCCTGTTTGGTTGCTTTGTTTCGTTTGTTGTTGTTGTTGTTGTTGTTGTTTGTAGTAGCAGAATTGAACCCCGCACCTTCCCCTGACCTACATCCCAGCCCTTTTTTATTTTGAGACAAGGTCTTGCTAAGTGGCTAAGTTGGCCAGACTGAGCTAGAAATTATGACCTTCCTGCCTCTGCCTGACAGAGTGCTGGGATTACAGTTGTGCACCACCCACACCTGGAGAGACAGCCTGTGTTTTACCTGGTGACTCCATCCCAGGGAGGCTTCAGCCCGCCTCGGGGACACGGAGTCCACAGCCCTGGTTCTGTAGCATGGGTGCTGGATCCACTAAGCCACGGGATGCAAGGTCTCTGTGGGTTCTGTGGGTGCCCAGCCCCCATCTCCTAGCCCTGGGAGGGGGTAAGCTCTGCACTGTCTGAGCTGCAGAGGGACCCCAGAAGGGCTGAACCCCGGTGGGGTTTGCCTCCCAGCACCGCACCCAGGCCCAGCCTCCACTTCCGCTCCAGCCCTTCCTTCCTCTTCCCGGCCACCCCCACACGTCTCAGGCTCTGGAAGACCACAAGATGATGCCCACGAAGAGGAAGATGACGGGGTGCATGCACATTTCATAAAGTTATGACGATTGTGTGGGTGAGAACTTCAACACAAGCCAGGCGTGGGGGCGCAGCCTGTCAACCCAGCACTCTGGGAGGCTGAGGCAGGAGGGTCCCGAGTGCAAGCCCAACCTAGGCAACTTGGTGCCTTAGACCCTGTCCCAAAATTAACAGTGACAAAGGGCTGGGGATGCTGCTCAGTGCAAAGGCCCTGGGTTCCATCCCCAGTACAGAAAACAGAATACAACCTGGTACAGAATCTGCTGTCTAAAATACTCTTACTCATAAACATCCCGTGTCCTTGTGCTTTGCAGGAAAAGTGCAACCACGAAGGAAAAAGAACTGATCCCCCTGAGAACCCAGCGACCTCCAAGGTCAGAACAGGCCCGGCTCTGCGGCGCCAGGTCCGCGGGACTCTTCCGCCCCCTGGTGGACGCCCGCCCGCAGGCTCCTGGGGTTGGGGCCCCCGCCCAGATCTCTCTGCCGAAGTCTCCTTGTCCTGCCCACGCTGAGGCCCTCAGGTCCCCGCCAGGGTCCCGTTCAGGTCCCCACCCCACCCACCGGCTGTGGTTCTGTCCCCTCCTTCATCGCTGGGTCCCGTCTAGACCGAGCAACAAGACGGGAGGTCCGGTCATCCAGAGGAGAAACAGCACACGCGCTTCTGACCTTGGAAGAGCTAAATAAGGACAGAGAAACAGGGCCAGGGATTTAGCTCAGTGGTTCCACTGCCTGCCTTGCAAGTGCAAGGTCTCAAGTTCGATCCCTGGTACCAAAAAAAAAAAAAAAAAAAAAAAAAAAGGATGGAGGAATGGAAGACTAAAAACATTTAAAGGAATTTTTTTCTTGTTTTTGTCTTTGTTTTGTTTTAAGACAGAGTCTCCCTGTGAAGTTCAGGCTGGCCTTGGACTCACTATGGAGCTCAGGCTGGCCTCAAACTCATGGCGATTCTCCTGCCTCAGCCTCTCCCAAGCGTTGGGATTACAGCCGTGGGCCACCTAGCTCAACTCAAAGGACTTCTTAAAACTTTCTTTCTTGACAATGCCTGGGTTTCTTGCCTTTTCTCTTACTGCAAAATTAATCCTGTTGTGCACATCAGAAACGAGATCCTGACTTTTTCTCCTGGGATTCCCTCTCCTCCTCCCCACCCCCTCCCTCCTGGACACAGGGTCTGTATCTCCGGCCTCCCTTGTGGCAGGGTGTGGCAGGGTGTGGCAGTCCAGGGCTGGCACCATCCACCTTTGTGTCTGGGCTCCGCCCCCGCCCACCAGCTCTGGTCCTTCAGGGGGGTCTCTGCAGGTCCGGCAAGAGAAATAAGGCGCCCTGGGGCTGAGGCCCTGGAGGTGGAAGCTTGCCCTGCCTTCCTTCAGCTGCTGGCCAGAGCTTCCGACACCTCTCTCCCTCCCCTTCACCTGCTGTCACCTCCAGGGTCCCCGGCCTCTCCAGGCCCCTCCCGCCTGGCCACGCTCCTCAAACTAAGAATCTGATCAGTGTCACCAGCTTCCCTGACCACAGGGATTGTGGCTCCGTGGGTTCGATCCCCAATGCCACAGAAAAAGACCTGGGGCCACGGAGCAGGACCTGAGAGAGAGGCAGGAAGAAAAGACCACGGCCCGGCCGCCCCACCACTTCTGCAGCCACAGTCTCGAACCCTTCCCCTCTCCTCACTCAGCCTTTAGTGTGTTTCTCAACTGTCACCTCCTCAAGGGACCCTAAACCCCCAAAGAACTCAAATCCCCCCAACATATGCTTTCATCAGGCCTGCACCTCTCTCCGTAGCAATCGCTGAGGCTGTCATTTCAGTACAGGCTGCAGTTATGTGGTTTCTCCCTACTTGATTAGCCCCGCTCGACTCTACCCCAGGGCCTCTGCACTGTCCCTTCCCGGGCCTGACGTGACACCTCCTGTCAACCTGGCTGTCCACCCTCCGTGTTTTTCTTCCAATGTCACCTTCTAGGTGGGGACTTGTTAGCAATCTAATTTAACATAGTGGCACGGCTCCCTCTCCTGGGCCCATGCCCTCTAACCCCTTTCTCTGGAAAGTTATCTTTTTAAAAATTTTATCTTTCAATTGATAAGCAAGCAAAAATTGTGTTTATTGTGCTCATGATGTGTTTTGTTTTGGTTTGTTTTTGGTACCGGGGATCGAACTCGGGAGCTCGCGCTTGCGGTAGCGCCACTGAGCTGCATCCCCGGTCCTCATGATGTTCTGATATATGTATATATACATTACTGAAGAGCTAGATCAAGCCAATTAGCAGGTGCATCCTTTCATGTACGTCTTTGTGCTGAGAACCCTTAAATCCCCTGGGCAAGCGTTAGGTCCCAGGCATTGTTAGTCAGAGCCGCCCACGGCAGGCCCAGCTCCTGGGTGTAACCCGACTGGAGTTCCTCAGAGGGCGCAGCTGTCTCCCTTCCTGCTATTTAGTCCGCCTTGCTTCACACCTATCTTTGTCCCTAAAATGTGGCTCCACGGGGCGGGGACTTGGGGTCCCCGCCGCACCCCCTGAAAGGGCGCTGGCGCAGTGCGGCGCCGCAGCTTTGGTCGGTGAGCAGGGAACCGGGCGGAGTGTACTCTGCGGAGCCGACCGTGCGGCCGCGGACGGCGGCGGGCGTTTCTCCCCAGAAGAGGACAGGCCAGACGCGCCGGCCCGCCCGGACGTCTCCGACCCGACCAGCGCCTCCGCGCTCGGGCTCGGACGCCAGAGGGCGGGCGCGGCGGCCGCTTTAAGGGCGCTCGGGATGCGGTGACGTCGCGGCCCCGCCCGCCGCCCAGCGATGCTGCAGCAGCCGAGGTGATGCCGCCAGCCCGCACCCGCAGGTACCGCGCCCGCCGCCCGCCCGCCGCTCCCCCGGCTGCCCGGCTTGGCCCCTGAGCCGGCGCAGGCCCAGGCGGGCGGCTTGGCCGCGGGGCCCTGCGACCACCGGGGCCCAGGCCCGCTCCTGCCGGTGCTGTGCGGCCTCGGGGTCAGGCTGACCGGGGGGGGGGGGGCCGCAGAGGAGCCCTGCAGCTGCCGAGCTCCTAGGTGACCTGGGACCAAGCCTTGGGGCTCACCCTGGGGATCCCGGGAGGGGAGTCCCCCAAGATCTCTGGTGGGGAGCAGGTTCCACCTGGAGGGGCCGAGAAGGGAACCAGGAAATGGTCTTGGACCCTAGTGGGATCGTTTTAGGCATTCAAATTAGGTGAACATTGCTTATTTTATTAACCATGAGCTACTGAAACATCCGTAACAGTTTGAAGAATCCATTACTATATTTTATTCTATCTTTGCGGTACTGGGGGTTGAGCCCAGGGCCCTCTTGCTAATTCATTAAACTGCCCAGGCTGGGCTGGAACTTGGGATCCTCCTGCCTCAGCCTCCCAGAGTGTACCAGCATGCCCGGCTGGGACCCATTTCAAACACCCCCGGTATCGTAGAAGCGTGGTGGCTGCTCGTAGAGCTGCCGGAGGGTCTAGGGATGCGAATGCATTTTCTTTTGATCTAGTAAATATTCGTTTGGTGTGATAAAGATGGCTGGCTAACGTTTGTGTTAGTGTATTAAAGTTCTATTGCATCGTTCTAGCTTTCAGGTTCACTTACTATCTGGTGACATTAAACATGAATTTTTTAAATTCTTCTTTTAGCATATATTCTTTCAAAGTAAATATACCTTCTAGAATATAGGTTGATACTTACTTAAATACACATATTATTAGATGAAATGGTAACGTGGACGGTCACATTGAAGGCGAGCCCTCGGCAGAGACTTCCGGCAGGCTGGGGGTGACAGTGGTTCAGGCGCTGGGCTCCGCAGGGCCCGGGCTGCAGGCTGCATTCTGGGAGCTGGGAAATCGGAGCAGACCGATCAGAATGTAGGCAGAGGCATGGGCTTCCTCACCACTTCCATTTTAGCAGGGTCAAGAAGCTTCTCCCTTGCCTCCCGCGGTGGTGCACATCTGTAATCCCAGCTCCCCAGGAGGCTGAGGCAGGAGGACTGCAGGTTTAAGGCCAGCCTGGGCAGGTCAGCGAGACCCCAGGGCTCCATTTCTGAGCTTCAGTGATTGGAGCTCCAGGGAACATGACACGGCGCCCTGGGGCTTGGAAGGGGCCTCGCCAGCACCTGAGCTGAATGAGTGAGAGGCATCAACCCTGGCCTTCCCGAGCACGTGACCATGGTGCGACCCTGCGGGAACTGTACTTTAAGGGACATATTGCTGTCTACAGCGTCCTTAGGTCCATCTGTTATCGCCTCGCAGGAGAATGGCATATTTCTAAGGTCACAGATGAGTCATGCATGGAAGTGGCAGCAGAGTGAGTCTGGCTGTGCCATTCCCTGTCGCCTCGGGGTAGAACCCACCGCTTAGCACAGATGCAGGCCCGCGTCACCAGGCAGTACCTTCCTGTGGCTTAGTGCTCTCCACACCCACTGTGCCCATTGGCTGAGCCTGTGCGCGTGTGTGTGTGCGTGCGTGCGTGCGTACGTGGGCACGCTACTGGGGATTGAACCTTTGCGCTGAACTTTTTTTCCTTTTTGGAGACAGAGTCTCACTAGTCTTTAAATTGCCCAGGCTGAGCTTGAACTTGTAGTCTTCTGCCTCCCCTCCCAGAGTGCTGGGATCACAGGGGTGCGCCGGGAATGATTGCCCTCATCCCTCTTTCATGAGTGATTCCAATTAGTACACTTTTCTTCCACTTTTTCACCCAGCCTGGGGATAAGAACTATGTCTATTTTGTCTCCGTGATATCAGTGTCTTAGAAGATGATGAGGTGGATGGATAGGCAGGAGGGTGTGTGAGTGTGTTAGATGGACAGATGCATGGATGAATAAATGAAGGTAAGGGAGGAGGGATCAATGGATGAATGGATGGATGGATGGGCAGAGGGATGGGTGGATGAGTGGATAGGTGGATGAATGGATGGATGAGTAGTTGGATGGCTGGATGGGTGGATGATCGTGGATGAATGGAGTTATTCCTCCTGTTCTGAATCTTGCTAAGGTGTGTCTAGACCCAATCATTTTTATCACTGGTGTCTTCTGAAGGGTCCATAGGGTGGTGAAGGAGTCTGGGATACAACTCTTGGTGTGTGCAATATCAGAGTGACTCAGAAAGAGGTCACCCACCAGCCACTGTGCCAGAAAGTGGAATAGGAGATGGGTGTCTAACAATCTTTTGTCTGGAGCTTAAGACAAAGTCTGCGAGAAAGCCTGTCCTGTTTACCTTGGGAAATGATAACCGTTGTCATCAGGAAGCCTCTGGATGTTGGGGAAGCTGTCTTGGCTTGGGACTCCCTTCCCAGGAACGTCGTCCGTTGCTTCTCTGCGGCACAGGCGGTGGGCTGTGTCCAAAAGGTCAGGCCGGGTCCTGGGCCTCCTGCTCTGTGTCGGGCTTTGTCTCCTTCCTCCAGTCTCAGCGGCTTTCTTGTCCCTGGGCACAGGACATGGACACTGGTTAGAAGGCAAGTCAGCACGTTGGAACCTGTTCCTTTGGGGCTTGCGATCTACACTATTCCACGGCAGTGACAGGCAGTGGGGGCTCAGGAGCAGGTGTCGGAGGCACAGATTGCAAACTTGGGGGAGAGGGACAGAGGGGTGCAGGGCTGGAGAGGGCTGCAAGGGCCTTAGCCCCTGCCCATGCCTACCTAGGCCATGGCCATAGCCGCTCAAAATAAATACATTAAAGTTGGGGAGATTTGTTCCTCACCTCTTTCTGATTCGTTTTTTTTTATTATTATTTTATTGTATTTTATTTTAGGAACCCAGGGCCTCCTGCATGCTAGGCCAGTGTTCTACCACTGAGCCATACCCCAGCCTGATTTCTTTAAAGAGAGCATTTCTGGACATGGCTTGTGTCCGGTTGATGCTGAAAGGAGAAGGCGTGTGTTCAGCCCACTCAGCTGTTGAGCAAGAACCAGGCACAGTGGCAACCTGCAATCCCAGCACTCTGGGAGGCTGAGGCAGAAGGATCGCCAAGTTCAAGGCCAGCTGGGACAACTTAGCAATTTAGAGAGACTTTGTCTCAAAATAAAAATTAAAAAGGGGGCCGGGGATTTAGCTCAGTGATTTCGCCTCCTGCTGCTCAAGTGCAAGGACCCAAGTTTGATCCCCAGTACCAAAAAAAAATAATAATAAAATAAAATTAAATTAAATTAAATTAAAAAGGGCTGGGGATGAGCCCAGTGCAAAGGCCCTGGGTTCGATCCTCAGTACCACCAAAAAAAAAAAAGGCTTGGGCCTCCTGCAGAGGGGTAAATACAAGTGCCATGGACTGGAGTCTGCTGTGACTTCCACCTATGAAGGAAGGCCTGTCCCCTCCCAGTGAGCCAGCCCTCAGGGTGCCCTGTCCCCGGCCTGGTGTCCCCATCTCTGGCCCCTGGGACCTGGAAATGGCTGCCGGCGTCCATGGGGCCTGTGGGTGGTCGCTGTGCTGTGCCTGTCCCCACAGAGCCTGTCTGTGCCCCTTGGAGGGCATGTGGGGGCCCGGACACTGGGCTCTGCTCTCCAGCCTGGGAGACAGCATCCACTTTGGTCTCCTTGGGTGTCTGATGGGGACCCGGGCGGGTCACCTCAGCTCTTCTCGTGTGGAAGGAGGGTGGTGGGAAGACCAGGGCCACAGTGCCCTGCTGCAGTGCGGGCCCTGGCCGAGTAACTGTCGCCCACCTGGGCTTTCCTCGCAGGGACGCGCAGCAGCCCCCCCTGCCATGAACCCCCCGGCCACCCCTCCGGGAGAGGCACTCTTGCCCAGCGTGGCTCCTCAGGACTTCTGGAGGTCACAGGTCTCGGCTTACTCGGGCTCAGTGACCCGTCACATCAGCCACCGGGCCAACAACTTCAAACGCCACCCCAAGAGGAGGAAGTGCATCCGGCCCTCCCCACCCCCACCCCCCAACACCCCCTGTCCCATTGAGCGGGTGGACTTTGGGGACCTGCACCCCCAGAGGTCCTTCCGGGAGCTGCTCTTCAACGGCTGTGTCCTGTTCGGCATCGAGTTCAGCTATGCCATGGAGACAGCATATGTGACACCTGTGCTGCTGCAGATGGGCCTGCCCGACCAGCTCTACAGCCTGGTGTGGTTCATCAGCCCCATCCTCGGTAAGCCCCAGCTCAGCCCCAGGCATATGGCCTGGAAGAGTCCAGAAGAGTCCACAAGCTTCCGGAAGATTCCAGGTGCTTCCAGAAGCTTCCACGGAGTAGTTTGAGGTCCTGACAGCAAGGAAGAAAAAGGGTTAAGGTCCTCTAGTTAGTGTGGGGCTGTAGGAAAACAGGCATGACCCCTCCGTCCTATTTTTTAAGCTCCTTTACCTAAAGCAGGCAACAGAATGGGAGCTGAGCCATCCCAAGGACTGTGCCATCTTGGGCCCCAGTTATTGGAGAATCCAACGGACAGAGATCAGTGGGATTTGGGTCCCAGAGGACTTAGAGTTTCCTAAATTCCCAAGGAAGGTCCTGGCTGCTTCATGCCTTTAGGGTCCAAGGGGGAAAGCTGAGGAGATGCTGAGTGACTGTTTTGCTGCCGACTCTGAGTCCTCGCAGACTTACACCTTTGAGGCCCTGGTGCGTAGGTGGGCAGGAGCCTTAGGAGCCCAGGGAGGCTGCTGTGTCCCCAGGAGCCCAGGGACCCACCAGTGAGCCCCGTCTGCTCTGTTTCAGGGTTCCTGCTGCAGCCTCTGTTGGGTGCTTGGAGTGACCGGTGTACCTCAAGGTTTGGAAGGAGACGCCCTTTCATTCTTGTCCTGGCGATAGGTCTGTTTTGGCATGGACATTAAATGCAAAAAAAGAAAAGAGGAAGGCAGGCAGAAAGAGAAAAAGAGAAGGGGGGGGGTAAAAGAAGGAAGGAAATAGAAATGAAAGAAAAGAAAACCCCAAGTACTACCTCTTAAGAAAATCTAAAAAAAAAGTCTTGAGTAAAGCAGGTGCCCTGATAACTTCAGGCCTTCAGGTTTGGGGTGTCAAGGAGCCCCCAACCCAAGCCTGAGTTAACCCTGAGATTAAATCATCTTGATCTCTTTTTTTCCATGAGTTAAACCTGAGGATAGTAGCACATGCTTGTGATCCAGTACTCTAGGAGGCTGAGGCAGGAGGATTCCTAGTTTGAGCCCAGCCGGGCAACTTGACGATTTAGCAACACCCTGTCTCAGGAACAAAAAGATAGAAAAGTGCGGGAGATGCAGCTCGGTACAGAGGTCCTGAATTAGCCCTGCAGTTTTAAAAGTGCGCTCCTGAAGCCCACCTCCTTCCTGCTCTGCGTGCTGAAGGACGCCCTGCCCCGCGTCTAGAGCCCAGGCGTCTGCAGGTGACCCCTCTCAGGCTCTGTACCGACTCCGAGTTCCGGGTCCTAGACGCAGGCGGCGGACGGAGGGAGCCGCAGTCCGCACGGCTCGGTGACCCCTCACTCTGTTTGCAGGGGCGCTGCTGGGCCTCTCGCTCCTGCTGAATGGCAGGGACATCGGCGCAGCCCTGGCTGACACCGCCACCAGCCACAAGTGGGGCATCTTGCTGACCGTGTGCGGCGTGGTGCTGATGGACGTCAGCGCCGACTCTGCTGACAACCCCAGCCACGCCTACATGATGGACGTGTGCGGCCCGGCGGACCAGGACCGCGGCCTGAACATCCACGCCCTCCTGGCGGGTGAGTGTCAGATGCGTGCACTTGGGGCCCCTCCTTGCCCGTGATTTAAAACTAAGTAAATGACACCCGGTGTGGTGGCACAGGCCTGTAATCCCAGCACTTCGGGAGGCTGAGGCAGGAGAGTCGCAAGTTTGAGCCCACCTCAGGCAACTTAGTGACTTAGAGAAACCATGTGTAGCTCAGTGCAGAGGCCCTGGGTTCAAGCCCCTGTACTGCTAGATAAATAAATTGATCGATGGAATTCAAATATATTGATAAACATGGAAGTGATTGAAAAATACACCTCAAACACTGTGTCTGGACAGTAACATCCGGTGTGGGTACACACGCGTGTGTAATGAGTGTGTCTAGCTGTGCCTCCGTGTATTAAAACATGGGTTCCAGGACTTCCTGCAAATACCAAAATCTACAGATGCCCCACTCTCTTATTTAAATGGCCCAAACTGGCTGTGGCAGTGCACATTTGTAATCCTACCACTCAGGAGGCTGAGGCAGGAGGATTGCTGTTAGTTTGAGGCCAGCCTAGACCACACAGTGAGTTCAAGGCCAGCCCTTCAATAGTGAGACTCTGTCTCAAAGAAAGAAAAAGAAAGAAAGAAGAAAGAAAGAAAGAAAGAAAGAAAGAAAGAAAGAAAGAAAGAAAGAAAGAAAGGCCCAGTACCTATGCGTAACCTACACACATCCTCCTATGAATGGTACTTTAACTTCTAGGTTACTTATAATATTTAATGTGGTGCAAATGCTATGCAAAAAGCTGCTTTACTCTATTGTTTTAGGAATAATAACAAGGGAAAATGCCTGTATGTATTCGAAACAGATATGATTTTTTTCTGAGTATGTTCAGCCCAGGGGTGTGGAACCCGTGGACAGGGACAGCTCTATGTTGTACAGTAATTCTTTGGTTCACAGACGCTTCTGTTTGCAAGCAATTTGCTTCTCAAACAGAAGCATTTGGCAGAATTTTGCTTCCGTTCCCGAACTCCACACTGGGTGTCGATGTCAAACCCGACTGTAGCCATCTTCCCAACAATCGCGGAACAAATTCAGTTCGTGAAAAGAGGGCTCCACTGTATTTAAACATAGATGCGTAAATATGAATGTTTGTGTGCAGTTGATTCTCATTACTTGCCTTAGTTGTATTCATAAAAAGTCAGTATGAACACTGAATTAACCAACATGGGACCCTTGTTCTGAGGAGAAACAGCTACTTTCTGTGAGTCTCTGGTCACAATGTTTTTATCAAACCCATCAATATGTAACCTTGTTTTATGTGTTTCTGTCCAAAGACACTTTTTTTTTCTTTTTGTGGTACTGGGGATTGAACCCAGGGCCTTCACACTGAGCTAAGTCGTAGCCCTTTCTATCCAAATACAAGGTCTCTCACGAGGTCATTAAATTGTCTGATTTGGTCTCTAACTTGTGACCCTCCTGCCTCAGCCTCCCAAGTACTGAGGTTTCAAGCCTCACCTCCATCCCTGGCTTGAAGATGCTTTATTTAACAGAGTCCACTCTTTACTATTCAACTCAGGGCCTGCAGCACCCTGGCGCCCCCATGTGACGCTGTCTAACACACACGTTCCCTCCACTGGGCACTTCCGCATACGCTTGGGGCCTGCAGGCAGTAAAACCAGTAGCAAAACTGCAGCACACAGGGCACAAGTAGACCTCATAAAGCCATGGCGTAAAGGAGCCAAAGGAGCAGGCCGACTCCACCCCGGGGCCTCCGTGGGGACCACAGGACTCCGGGCATGTAGACCCTTTCCTGTTCGGTCCCCTGGTGACGGCAGAACACTTGGCACTGGCTTTAGGGTGACAAAGTGGAGTCGTGGGTTCCCAAGCCCAGAACCTGCAAATAACAGGGCTCAAATGTGTGCTCATGTGTGCGTGCAGGTGTGAGATGCGTGTGTGCTCACGGGCACACGCTGGCATGTTAACAGCGACATCTGGGAAGCATCCCCGTCATAGCCAGGCCGGGGCCGGAAGGCACTGGCCCCACAGCCACTGCTGACAGGGAAGCCAAGGGTGGCTGTCAGCGCCGACCGCGGTCTGTCTGTGCCCATGGAGATAAGACTGGACTCGTGGCAGCCGTGTCAAAATGTCCATGGCTTTGCATTGCTCACTTGTCTCTACCCTTCCTCCTGCCTCAGTTTCCCCCAGGAGACATGGGTCCCTGGTCCACTATGGGTTGTTAAGCCTGGTGGTCTTGATCCTTCCGGAGCTACTTCCTGCTGGCTGTGGCCATGACTTTCCTCGTGGTGGCTGTGGTGACATCGGGGTGCTGACATCCCGTTTCTCTCCCCAGGTCTGGGAGGAGGGTTCGGTTACGTGGTCGGCGGGATCCACTGGGACAGAACCGGCTTTGGGAGAGTGCTGGGGGGCCAGCTCCGCGTCATCTACATCTTCACCGCGGTCACCCTGAGCGTCACCACCGTGCTGACGCTGATCAGCATCCCCGAGCGGCCCCTGCGGCCCCCTGGAGAGAAGAGGCCGGCCCTGAAGAGCCCCAGCCTCGCTCTGCCCCCGTCCCCGCCTGCCCTGCAGGAGGAGGCCGCGGGCGACACTCTCCCCGCCCAGGCAGCCCCCAGCCTGTATGCCAGCTTCTCCACGCCCATCTCCCCACCCAGCCCGCTCACGCCCAAGTATGGCAGCTTCGTCAGCCGGGACAGCTCCCTGACAGGCATCAGCGAGTTCGCGTCCTCCTTCGGCACCTCCAACATAGACAGCGTCCTCATCGACTGCTTCACGGGGGACCCCGACAACTACCTGGCCCTCCCCGGCAGCATCCCCCGACCGCCCATCAGTGTCAGCTTCCCCCGGGCCCCTGAAGGCTTCTATCACCAGGACCGGGGCCTGCTGGACAGGAGGGACAGCAGCCTGGCCTCCAGCGATGGGGACGTGCTGAGGGTGGGCTCCCTGGACGCCCCCAAGCCACAGGCCTCTGGCATCCTGAAGAGACCCCAGACCTTGGCTCTCCCTGATGCAGCCGGGGGAGGCGGCCCTGAAACTAGCAGGAGAAGGAACGTGACCTTCAGCCAACAGGTAAGAGCCAAGGTGGAGACTTGCATCTGTCCCCTCTGCAGTCAGAGGACAGATGATGGTGGTGCAGGGCTGCAGTCCCAGCTGCTTAGGAGGCTGAGGCAGGGGGATCAGTCTGGCGACTTAGACCCTGTTTCAAAATCAAAACAAGTTAAAAGGCTGGGCATGTAGCTCTTTGGTGGGCAACCCTGGGTTCCATCTGCAGTACCACAACGGGGAGGGAAAGACATAGATGACCAAGGAAGAGAGTGGACCTGCAAGGAAATTCCCGGTCATCAGTGAGAGATGCAGGGCTCAGGGGTTTGTTTCCAGGTTCAGTAACAAGAGTGAGCTTTAGCAGAAGCGAAAGTACACTCCGCAGGGGCAGCGGGAGCGGCCAGGGAGGACTCACGGCTCCCACTAGGGGCAGCACTGGGTCTCTTAGGGTCCTTGGGTTGTGGGCGGGTCTACATGGGGATGGACAGGAACTGTGGCCCAATGGGATGCCTGACTCCACCCACAAACCAAGAAGGGGAGGGTTTTTAGAGGAAGTGTCGTGGCATCCACTGGGAAGGGGGTCAGAACTGCAAACGAGGTTGGATGCAAGGGTGGATGCAAACTTTGGGGTTTGCCTATGCCTGGTGGTCTTGGGGGATAGTGACCTTTATCTGTTGGTTTTCAGATGTTTTGACATAATCGTCCTCATTCTGTCTGGTTTCTCCATTCTTGTCCCATGTTGTTTACTTGTCCTTGCTCTAACTCCTGCTACACAGTGCGTTTGTAGTCCTCAACACCACTCATGGTCAGGGCGGGAAGTCCCGGCCTGACGGGTGTTAGTCACAGATGACAGTGTGTCTCCTGGGCCCCCGTTAGGCGCCATCGGGTGGCTGGGCATCAGGCTCTGAAAGAAAGTGCCAGTTCTCATAAACACTGCTGTATCTCCCAAAGGTGGCTCCAGCCAGGGCTGTCGCTCCGGTGAGTATGGTACAGTATGGCGTTCCTTTCACTGGTTTCTAGAACTTTCCCTCAACATCCAGACCCCAGTTGATTTGGGTGTCTGAATCCATCAGCAACAAATCTGAGTCTTCATGAAAGAAGATGACAAAGTGTAGCCCACAGCATTTCCAGGGCCCCCAGCTGTGGTGGTCCCCATCCTAGCACCTGACACAAGCTACCCCCTGGAGGCTGCACAGGCCTCAGGCCCTCCCGGTAGCAGCCTGTCTGTGAAGGCACAGAACCTTCGGGAAGGCCGACTTGTTGTCAGTGTACCAATATGTGAGGCTGCACCAGCTTCCACGACCATGGTTTTGAGGAGGCTACATTAGGTCAAAAGAAGGTTATTCTCTTATTTGATGTAGACATATACTGGGTGCAGTAGTGCACGCCTGTCATCCCAGCACTCGAGAGGCTGAGGCAGGGGGACCCGGAGTTTAGGGCCATTTGGGGCAACTTAGGTCAAGACCAGCCAGAGACCCTGACAGAGAGAGACAGAGAGAGAAGGAAAGAAAGAAAGAACACAAGAAAGCAAGCAAGCAAGAAAATATAGTAAGCTACCATGTCCCAGAAGCCTCAGGAGCTTTACAGGAGGAACAATCTAGTCCCTAAACTGTCGCTCCAGAGTTAGAGTGCAGCAGCCCCAGCCCACGTTATTTTTTATCTTGGAGGCAGGGTCTTGTGTCACTAAGCTCCCCAGGCTGAGCTTGAACTTGCAGTCCTCCTGCCTCGGCCTCCCAGAGACAGGCCTGTGCCACCACTCCCGGCTCTTCCCATTCTCCACAGGGTCAGCCCCTCCCATGTGGCACAGACCTGGGTTCCTGAGGCCCCGAAATCCTTCTTCGTGGCGGCTCTGGGTCTCAGAGGAGAGGAGGGAGGCGCCTGGTGCGGGGTCTGGGCCCCGCCTCCAGGCCGCTCCCAGACACTGATGGGGGGTTGGCTCCTTGCAGGTGGCAAACATCCTGCTCAACGGTGTGAAGTTTGAGAGCGAGCTGACGGGCTCCAGGGAGCAGTGGGAGCAGCCACTGTCCCCGGGCCGCCTGTGCGCCACCATCTGCCACATGCCCAAGGCACTGCGTAACCTGTGTGTCAACCACTTCCTGGGTGAGCCTGCATGGCCCGGGCGCCGGGGATGGGCCCAGGGCCTGGCTTCCAGGGGCTCCCCACCTTCCTCAGCCCCGGACACCAGCAGGGGGGACCAGGCTTGGTGGCCGTCCCAGGGCAAGTGAGTGAGACAGCCACAGAGCTCTCGGACAGCTCCGGGGAAGTGGCGGAGCCCACGTCCCCTCGTCCCCCTGTGCGTGGAGCCCCACAAACTGCTCTGGGACCTCACGCCTGGCCATAGGGTGGCGAGGCCACACAATGGGCAGTTTGCCACCACTGAAGTGAGCCTGTTTAGTCCCTCTGGGTGGCCAGGAAGTTGTGCGTGGTTACCTCTTGGGGCTCAGGAGGCGCCGTCTACACGGCCTCCCCGCATCCAGAAGTGGCTCAGTGGTCAGAGAAACAGCTCGCGAGCTTCCGAGACAGACAGACATCCGGAAGGACAGCCTCCGGCTTCTGCAGAGCTTCCCTCCGGGCTCCACATTAGGCGCCATGGGAAGCGCGGGGTACAGTCGCGGCCCTCTCCCCCAGGCTGGCTGTCCTTCGAGGGGATGCTGCTCTTCTACACTGACTTCATGGGCGAGGTGGTGTTCCAGGGCGACCCCAAGGCCCCGCACTCGTCTGAGGAGTACCAGAGGTACAGCAGTGGCGTGACCATGGGCTGCTGGGGCATGTGCATCTACGCCTTCAGCGCCGCGCTCTACTCAGGTACCTGCGGCCTGGCCGGAAGGCAGGCTTGGGCGACACAGGCCCAAGGGCCACAGCCGTCGCTGCCTCTTCCCCATCCCTTGGCAGCTCCTGGGCTGGGAGGCAGGCGGGCAGAGCCCAGGGCCACCTCGGGCCAGGGGCAGCCACCAGCCACATCCCCCCCGAGGCTCCCAGAGCTGCAGGTCCCAAGGAACGGGGGTCGGTCATGAGCAGGTGTCAGAAAATCTTCATGTCCCTCCTCCTCCTCCCTCACCGGTTATAAATCCAAAGCCGTTCTTTACTCCAGAGCCCTGCAAAAACGGGCCACGCCGTAGAGGTGACTTAGTTTGCTCTTAGTGAGGCTGAGCCCCAAGGAGATGGCTGTCACTTTGTGGGGGCACCAGGGTAGTAGAAGGCAGAGCCGGGGCTGGGCATGCGTCCTGTGGGGGAACCTGTGTGGCGCATAAGGCCCCATTCAGTGCCCAGCACCGCACACGTGGACTCCACAGGGCTGTTCACGTCACTCGCGTGTCCCTGGGTGGCCTCCGGGTGTGGTCTCAGTGCCTCAGGAGCGGGCGGTGGCTCTGTTCCATCTGACCCACGCTGTCCCACCATCATGGGGTGAGGATGACGCCGGCCAGGGATGAGCTGTGGGTGTCCCCTTGTCAGCACCAGGGTGGACGGGAACCAGCCCAGGCCACAGGGCAGCCTGGAGCACACACCCACCTCGCCAGGACCCTGCTGGGCCTGGACGGACGAGGCACCGTGTCCTGAGGCCTCACAGGTGCCTTCTGCTCAGGGCTGAGCCAGCGCCCCAGGTCCCAGGGGTGGCGCAGGAGCCCGGCCACTCACTGCCCACCTGCCTGCCCGCCCGCAGCCCTGCTGGAGAAGCTGGAGGGCTGCCTGAGCACCCGCACCCTCTACTTCATCGCCTACCTCGCCTTCGGCCTGGGCACCGGGCTGGCCACGCTGTCCAGGAACCTCTACGTGATCCTGTCGCTCTGCACCACCTACGGGGTCCTGTTCTCCACGCTGTGCACGCTGCCCTACTCGCTGCTCTGCGACTACTACCAGAGCAAGGCGGTGAGCGCCCCGAGCCGCGCGCACCCCACCCTGGCTCCTCCCCAGCAGCCACCTCCGGGCCACCCCACCACCCTGGGAGACGTAGGGGTGCACACAGCAGACTCTGGGCCACCAGAACCTCAGCACCCAAGCTCAGTGGCGTGTTAACTCACTCGGACCTTTAAAACCTCAGCGAATGCCAGGTGCACGCCTGTGATCCCAGGATGCAGGAGGTTGAGACAGGAGGATCTCAAATTGGATCCCACCCTGGGCAATTGAGCAACTTAGTGAGTCCTTGTCTCAAAATAAAAAATAAAAGGCTGGGGATGTTCCTCAGTGCAAAGCCTAGGGTTCACCCCCCAGTACCCCCACCACCACACGTACATACAGGAAAAAAGAAAAGTCAGGGTTAATGCCAAATGTCCGTGCTGAGGAAGATCAGAATGCTAAGCCACAATGCTCCGTAGCAGCACTGCGGGGAGCCCCGGCAGACTGTAAGGGTGAAGCCGCCTGTTCCTTTTGTGTCTTACTCAGCATGGACTCTCCACTCCAGCTGCGTGAGCTATAACACTCCGAAGTCCAGCGCCACTCACCCGGAGGCAGTGGGTTTTAGGTGCCCAGAGTTGAGAGCCACACCACAGTCAGTTCGAAGGCCTGTGTCACCCCAGGAAGAAACCTTCACCATCGGCCCTCTTAGCCGCCCCATGGGCAGCCTCCCAGTCACATTTCACATAGATGCCACCTAGCAGTGGTTCTCAGCTCATCCAGGTGGAGCCTGTGTACACACCGAGTCCCTTTTGATGGCCAAGTAGCATTCTCACCATGAATTTTTTGGTTTGTTTTTTTTTTTTTGTGGTACCAGGGATCAAACTCAGGACCTTGTGCTTGCAAGGCAGGTGTGGTGCCACTGAGCTAAATCCCCGGCCCTGTTTTTGTTTTGAGACAGGGTCTGACTGTGTAGTCTAGGCTTGCCTTGAGTTCACTGTTTAGCCCAGGCTAGCCTCAAACTCATGGAAATCCTCTTGCCTCAGTCTCCCGAGTGCTGGGATTAAGAGGCATGTGCTCCCACCATGAGTTTTTTTTTTTTTACAATAACTTTGAAACTTCTAAATACTGCATTAAAATATCACCCTGTTCAGTTGGGCATGGTGGTGCATGTCTGTAATCCCAGCCTGGGTAACTTAGCCAGACTATGACTCAGGCAGTGAAAGGGCTGTGAGGTAGCTCAGCGGCAGAGTGCTTGTCTCTTGCCTAGCAAGCATAGGTTCAGTTCCCAGCGCTGAAAGGAAAAGGGGGGAAATAATCCCTTGTCAAGTGTCTGGCACCCACTTTTAATTCGGTTGCTCACCGTTGCCCCTGCCCCAGGCCTGGCCTGATCTGTTTAAATGGCTTGGGGTCCGATCAGCTCTGCCAGCCACCCTGAGCTCGGTTCTCCCTGAAGAGCAAACCTCCACCGGTGCAGCTGGGCATTAGGACCAGGGCCGGGTGTCTGGTGGTGGCTGTGGCTGTGGCTGCTCCTGTCTGGGGCCATGGGTCGCCTCCCCATGGGCTCTACACAACCTGACCGCATGGAGCTCTGGGCCAGGGCCAGGGCCCACCCGGTGCCCACAGGAAGTGCCCCACAGGCCCCAGCTGGGTGTGGCCAAGGGGGCCCTAGGGTTACCAGGACATAGACACCCTTGAGAAGACCTTGGTTTGAGTCCCAGAGGGCCATGGCTGTCTGCACACGGTGCCAGTGTCCTTGGCGTGGCTTTGATTTGACACAGTGGCCACTGGGTGAGGTCCCGTGGTCCTCCCTGCAGTGCCTGGGAGGCAGCAGGAGAGGGCAGGGCTCCCTCTGGGGCGCCCCCCACTGGTCATGGATCCTTCTTGTCCTCTCTCTGAACACAAACACTGGGACCTTCTGGCTGAGCCCCCCCCAAGTGACCCTGGGAGGAGGGGCGCTGTGTGTGGTCACTCGGGTCTCCTAGGCCTGTGGAGACAGAGCTCGGTCACCCAGCGCATCCCTGCTCTGGCAGTTTGCAGGATCCGGCACAGATGGGAGCCGGCGCGGAATGGGCATGGACATCTCCCTGCTGAGCTGCCAGTACTTTCTGGCCCAGATCCTGGTCTCCCTGGTCCTGGGGCCACTGACCTTGGCCGTGGGCAGTGCCAGCGGCGTGATGTACTTCTCCAGCCTCATGTCCTTCCTGGGCTGTGTTTACTCCTCCCTGTTCGTCATCTACGAGATCCCCGCTGGGGACGCAGGAGACGAGGAGCACCAGCCCCTCTTGCTGAATGTCTGACGACCCGACACCTCGACTCTGGACTTGTGCCTGCGCCTGAGAGATCCAGGGCCAGGCTCCACTGGAATGTAAATATCGGGTAAAATAAAGGACAGCAGCAAAGCCTGGGGCTTCTAGAGGCTTTCAGAGGGTGCGAGGTCAGAGGCCTGAGCTCCTCTCCCTGGGCACTCGGGCAGGGAGATTATGAAGGTGGAGCTCCATGGTTCTCAGCCCCGGCTGATGGTGCCACCCCTTCCTATCTGCAAGGAGACATCTGGCAGTGGCCGGAGATATTTTGGATTGTCACAATTCGGCAGGGTTCATTTGCTGTCTAGGGGTGCTGCAAACACCCTACAACACACAGGACAGGCCCCCAAACAGACTTACGGAGCCCCAGAAGCCAGCAGTGCTGACGGGAGGAGAGGCCAGGCTCACTGGACCGCACGCTGCATCACACAGGGTTACAGTGTATATTCGTCATCCACTCATTTTTCTATCCACCCATTCATGCATGCCTTCTTTATCCATCTTTTATCCATTCATCTGCCCATCCTTCCTTCCACCCACCTGCTGTAGTTTGGAACTGAAATATCCCTCAAAGGCCCACGTGTTGGAAGCTTGGCACGCAGCCCCTGGTGCAGTTCAGAGGTGGGGGGACCCTTAAGAGGTGGGGCCTCGTGGAAGAAGTGAGGTCACTGGGGATCTGGAGGCCCCACCCTCCCTCTTTCTATTTCCTGGCTGCCACAAGGCGAGCAGCTTCCTGCATGGCCTTAGTGTCCTGTGCCGCCACGGGCCCAAAGCAATAGGGCCAAGTGACCAGGGACTGAACCCTCGAGTGAAAAGAACACTCCCTCCTGTTGATCTCAGGGATTGTGTCAGCAACAGGGAGATGGGCACACTCCCACCCACCCCTCCATCTCCCCAGAAGGTGTCCAGCCTGTGCCCTTGTGTGTGGCATGTGCTTGGGACCCAGCTCTGAGCAACAAGTCCCCACCCTGTGGAACCGATGGGAGAGGAAGAGGGACAGATGGGGTGGGGGCAGGGCCAGCGAGGGTGAAGGCTGCTGAGCTGGGCAGGGGGCACTGTCCTGACGATCGTGCTGGAGGGAGGGACCACCGGCACCGAGCACTGAGACGCCCGGAAGTGGGCCTCTGCCAGTGGAGAAAACACTGCTCACCCTTGCCAGCTCTGCTCGGAGCCAGGGGCTGAGACTGGGTAGGGCCAGGCTGTGCCCCCCACCTCTGTACCCATCACTACTCAGTGGGCACTGAGGGCCTGGAGTTCAGGCCAGGGCCCCAGCAGCTGCACTCACTGGTGGCCTCTGAACCCCTTCGGTCATGTGAGCCCGAAGCTACTTCCTGCACTGCGGTGCCACCGTGCCAGGTCAGTGGGCACCTCGTGTGCGGGAACCTAGCTTGGCTGGGGCTATGCATCCCCAGCACCTCAGAGCACAGTCCTGTGTTTGGGGACCAGGGAGACACCCCTGTCACACCAGCATCAGGAGTCCTGAACCTGCAACCAGCTCCAGGAGGGCCCAGCTCCTGGTGGTGCCATAGCAGTGTGCTCTGTGACTGGTTAGGGACGCCAGGCAGGAGCCATGGCCTCCGTGGCGCACTCTGGCCGCCTCCCCACCGGGCCACAGCTGCCCCATCAGGGCCGCCTTGACCACAGCTCCTGGGGAGGGCCTCTCTCTGGACCCTGCATAGCCCGGGCTCTCCACCCATCTCCTGCCCGGTGCAGTCACTGGGTCCCCTCTGCCTTCCAGCTGTGTCTGAGCCAGAGGCGGGGCTGGCATCCCAAGTCACGTGTCGCTGATGCTTGCTGCCCTGTCAGATGGCTCAGCTCCTTGGGGCCCTGGGCCCCAGCCTCCTGGTGTTTCCAGATGGTCCCTGACTGTCAGTCCTGGGCCCTCTCCCCAGAGCTTTGGAGGTGAACAAAGGTTGCTTCTCTTTGCGCCAATGACAGCTGCCGCTGGGAATCTGCCCTGCACCCACACTGTGTGGGGACCTCTGGGAGAGCCCCGTGCCCAGACCACAAGGCCTGCAGCGTCAGCAGCTCCATCCTCCCGACCCCATGTGAAGGAGGTATCGTGATCCGTTTTGTTTTGTTTTGTTTTTGGTACCGGGGATCAAACTTGGGACCTTGCGCTTGCGCAGCAGGCGTCAGAACCACTGAGCTAAATCCCCGGCCCTCGTGACCCTGTTTTACAGATCCGTCAAGTCCCGGTCCGGCTGCAGAACCCCGCTCTGGAGCAAACGCAGGGCTGTGAGGTCCCGGGGTGGCAGCTTCCTCCCCACAGGCTGGGCCCTGGGCGTGCTGGGAGGGAGCAGGCCTTCATTCCAGGTGGAAGGGCAGCAATGGAGAGAAGAGCTCCTGCCCAGTGCCTGCTGGCTCACCCTCTCAGGCCACTAGCCCCAGAGCAAAAGCTGTGCCGCGGAAACGGGAGCCCCTCCCGGCTGGAGTGGCTCGTCTGGAGCCCTGCCTGTGGGCTCCGCTCCCTTCTTCTCTCAGCCGCCCCTGGGCACACCGGGATGGGCCAGGTGGCACCAGCACTCCCCACGTCAGAGGCTGGAGCAGAGGGCCTGCGGTGGGCACCTCCCGGGCACGCACGCGCCGTGGTCCTGGGCCCCAGCCCGTGGTGAGAGCCCAGGAGGGCGCCTCTTCCGCTCAGGGAGCGTTACTGAGCGCCTGCTGCACGCAGCCAGGGCACTGCGGATACGAGCGAGAGAAGGGCCCTCCGTGCTCCGTCCCCCAAAGCCTCTGCTTCCTCACAACACAGGAGCCTGGGTGCTGGCACCCCGCCCGCCCCTGTACACGCCTTTCCTGTCACCCCCACACCCGGCTCTGTCCCCTTGTCTACTTGCCCCTGTGCCCTGTGCCTCTCGCTGCTCCCTATCAGATCCACACCTTCTCCCAGGATCCGCTTAGGGCCTCCCTGGGTCACAGGCTTCTGGGCTTTGTCACCACTGCCACCTGGTGGTCAGGAGCGGGAGTGCACCCCGTTCCGCACTGGGGCTGGCGGCAGAGCCCTGCTGGAACTGTGAGAGGCTCTGGGAGTGAAAAGGAGCCAGGCACACAGAAACTACGGCTTCCCTCGGGTTTCCCACAGCTCGGTAGCCTCAGGAGGGCCCCCTCGGTGACAGGTCTTAAAAGACTGCCTGAAGTCCTGACTTTGTCTAATTCACCACACGGTACTCCTACCCTGCAGTCTCCAGGGGCCATGCTGTAAAGCAGATCCCAAGGATGGTGTCCCCCAGGGCTGAGGACACAGGGCAGCAGAGAGGCAAGGCAGGTGTCAGCAGTAAGCCTGGACAGGATCAGGTAAAAGGTCCCATTTTCTGGGCCTTTGTGTCTACAACCCAAGGGCACCGGGCACCCAGGGCCCACCTTTGGCAGGGCACACCCATCCACCCATTTACCCACCCATCTGTCCATCCAGCCAAGTAGTTGTGGAGCAGGTGCCTGCCCTACACGGAACTTGGTCCAGTAATGAGGTGCCCAGGGCAGGGAGTGGGGGTGCCCGTGCAGAGCTGGCCTGCAGGACACAGGGAGTTTCTGCAGCCTGGGCCAACTACGCCCAAAGGAAACAACTGCCACTCCTGGCAGCAGCTGCTAAATCAGCCACCTTGGGGAGAAGCAAAGATGCAGGCCCAGAATTGGGGCTGCCAGAGATCCTGGGGTGGCCGAGAACCCAGACAGCACAAATGCAAAGGAGCCTGGGGCTGAGACCTCCAAGGAGCAGACGCGCCCGTGAGCACACGGAGGGCAGCAGTCCCAAGGAAGCGCTGGTGGAAGCTCTGCACAGGCTGCTCCTGGACACCTGGGGGCCATGTGCTCCACCTGTGGCTGCAGCAGCTCCCAGCAGCCCTGCCTCCAACCAGGGCTCCCTACACTGCCCACCTGGGAAGCAGAGGGAGCCTCTTCTGTGTCTCCAGGCACCAGTGGCACGGGGCTGCTCTGTGGCCGAGCAGGACAGGCACTTGGCCTGGCTTGGGAGCCCACTGGCCTGACCCCCGGGTGTCTGCGAAAGGGGTCCCACCTGATTCGGAAGCTCTGAGTTCAGGAACGGGCCTGGCTCCTCACAGGATGGAGTAACAGCTCATGCTGTGGCCCGGCCTGTGTCCATGCAAAAGGTCCTGGCTCTGACCCTGGCCCTAATTCATCAGCAGCTGTGCGTACAATCCTGCAGCTCCCCACACCGACTCGGGAGGGCCCGGACACTTGTGACCATGCTTACAGGGGGCAGGCACCACCGCTTATCTCTACAGTGCAATCTCACCTTTTGGTTGTGACCTTCATTCACCCAGTGGTGCCACACGAGGGCCCCCTTACGGAGGTCATCGCAGAACTGTGCTCGGGCTCCGGACCTCACGCACACTCCCTTTACCCACTGGCGGCAGGACCAGAAGGGGCTCCATTCCCAGAGCAAGAGCCCGAGGGCACACTGGGACAGCTGGTGGATGCCAGCCCAGCAGATGTCGCCCTTCCTCCAAGTGAGGCCTGAGGAACGGCCACACTTTTTACGTGGGCTTGTGGAGCACTGGAGATCTGAAGCTGTACCCGCGTGGCAGCGGATCGGGAGGATTCCCATCTTGGATATGCAGGTCATTCCGCGCTGGGAACCTTGCTGGTTGTTGAACAGAACACCCCCAGGTCCAGCACCTTTTGTTCTCCCTCATCCCGCGCATACTGGAAACCCCACTCCTCTGGAGGCTGGCACCAGGCTGCAGAACCCGCTTCCTTAGCCATGTACCAAGCAGTGGGACTGTTCCTAGCAGCTGTCCTGTTTCTGCAGCCCATAGTCCCGGCGAGGCCACCACAAGGTGGCCCACGGAACCTCTCATACCCAGTCTCACCATAGGGACAGGAATCGTTACGCCACTAAGAACCGCATGGTGCCACCCCCAGCCTCACCCAGTCCCAGACCCTGGTCACCCCAGCCGCCAGGCGGGCCCCTTGCCATCTAAAACACAGGAGTTGCCTTAAGGGCCACTGACACACCTGCTCATGCCTTCCCATCTGCAGGGCAGACCCTGGCAATGACTCGAGGGCTGCTCTGCCCCTGCCCTCAGAACACCGGACACCCGTCACCAGCTCCCAGATGAAGCGGCCGGCTAATTCCCAGGGTTGGTGACAAAGCTTCCCCCTCCGGTGACTACTGCCTCCTGGTGGCCACAGCCAGACCTTCCAGGCCAACTGTGCCACTGCCCCTGGGAGAGGCCCGAGGGGCTGCAGAGAAGGAGGCATGTCTGGAGCTGGCAGGGGTGGCATTCTCCACGCCGGTTTCAAGGTTTCAATCTTCCTGCTTGGGACGCACCCCCCAGAGCAAGGGGACTCACCCACGAAACCTCCTCCCAGACAGGCAGCTCCGGGTCTTCCTGGAAGCCACGGGGAGGAAGCGGGCGCCCACAGCAGCGAGCAGCGAGCAGCGGACCCCAGGGCCCCCCATGCCCCAGGAACAAGACAGTGTGCTGGTCCACACGGGTGTAGTAGTGTAGCTTGGTTTTATTTATGTCCACAAATATTTCAAAAAAATTACAAAATACTCAAATGGAGAGAACACAGAAGTCACGATTCTGGGTGTCTACTGTTTACACTGTGTTATCTCATGGCGAACTACTTATATACACTTAGCTTCAAGATATATAGAAACGTAGCAAATCAGAATGTACACTCTGCTCTGCTGCTGCAATGAAAGGTGAAGCTCAACCTCGACCACATGGAACAAGACACATACAAAACACAGAAAGCAAAACCAAACCTCAATGAAACGAAGGAAAACCCAAAGGAAACCAGGCGGCCGGGCATCACGGCTGGCACGGAGGTCCGGGCCTCCTACACAAGCACAGTCGTGGGCGAGGGCTGGGCTGTGTTTAAGGGGAATCTCAGTGCTTCACCGGGGTACGGAGAACCCGAAACGCAACGAGAGGACACCTTCAGACGGACTTCAGCACAGACTTCGAGGCGTGTCACTTTCTCTTCTTTGGAAACATGGGTGACAGAGGAGACAAAGGTTCAACTGAATAGCAGGTGTCGGGCGCTACCAAAAGGGGGAAAGAACAAGAGCGAGAGAGGCAGGGCACGGGCAGGGGCCAGCCTGAGCCTGAGCGCTGGTCACCACCCCCAGACGGACACAATGCCCCACGCCCAGGAGCTGGAAGTCTGACAACGAAGGGTTAATCTGAACTTGCCTCCCCTAGGGAACTAAAGTTAAGGCAGAAATGGAATGAGAGAAAAACAAAACAAAAACCAAACTACAAACATTTTCAACAAACAAAACAACCCTACCTGTCCCAACTGAAACCAGTGTGGTTCTGATAGAAACCAGAGAGAGAGCCGTGCCACAGGTCCAAGTCCAGAACCCGGTGCTGAGTGCGCACCCGCTGGGGCCCGGGGGCCACTCGGCCTCCTCCACCCGCACCTGGGCCCAGGCTGGACCGCTCCTGCCCACCAACCCCAGGCCCTTGTTGGATGTGACACACGCGACAGCAGAAGGGGCTCTCAGGAGTCTGGGGATAGGGAGAGGCCCCACAGATGCCGACAGCCCTGGCCATCCCCACTCCGCTTCGGGAAGTACAGGGCTCCGGGACCAGGAGGCGGCGGCTGGGCTCTCTGCTGGCTGGGCCTGCTTTCCGCCAGTGGGCTTGCGGCTGGGACTCCTCCTGTTCCTACTCCTCGGAGGCCAAGCAGGACTTGAGTGGTTTCCCAGTCCAGCGTGGGTCACTGTGTCTGAGCCTGCCCAGGGCCAGAGACGCAGGCCAAGACCCACGCCACAGTCACCTCGGGTCTCACTCAGAAGCAGCCTGTCTGTGGTGGGGACGAGGGCTCAGGCCTTGCCACGAGGAGATCCGGACGGTGACATGCACGAGCGGGCAGATTCTAATTCCTCTGGCAAGCGTTACGTCCTGGGTCTTTCCTGTGCTGAGATATCTGTATGGAATCGTTTTCTTGGTTTTTCTTGACTGTTTATGGACATTTCAGAGTATTAAAAAGGCAATGTATCCAGAACAATGTGTGTGCATAGAACTCTGTAAGGAAATCTACCATCAGACACACTAAACATGCGCCTTCTATCCCGCAAGACAGGACACGGTGGCAGCAGGGACCGGAAAACGAACACTGGACTTGGCACGCCTGTGCACGACGGAAGAGGCCTGTGCTCACAGGGCTGCGCCTCGGCTAGGCACGCTCAAGGGCACAGGGCCTGGAGCAGCAGACAGGAGTTTGTCGTGCCGCCCCGCTAGCCCCGGCCGGATGCTCATGCTATGGCTGCACCTATCCCAAGCTCCTGCCTGTATGTAATTAGTAACACCCATCGGCTCCCTTTAATTAAAGGGATAATTATATATAACTTTTTATTAAAAAATCAACTCTGTATTCTGTCAATAGCTGGTAGGAATTCATAATTAGTGACATGGCTGGAAAAAATAGAACAGTAGTTTGCGGAAGGAAAAGAAGGCTGTTCTAGATATTTATTTACAGACATAAAAGCCATGCTGCAGAACTTTCTCAAATTATGAAGATTTCCTACAATGTATTAAAATAAAAGATTTTTTAAAAATTATAGCTCTTGGATTCCAAACTCATACACTGCCTAACTGCAAACCCGTGGGCCCAGAGCCCATGCGACCCGGTGTCTGCGCGCACAGTGAAGGGTGTGACAGGTTCTAGCACCTACTGAGAAATCCAGAAGAGAACAAAGCCACCCCGAGGTCGCAGGGGTTCGGATGTCCAGCCCAGTCCGGAACTCACTACGTTTCTGGGGGACTGTCATGCAGGGAGACCCAAACCAGTCTCAGGAAATCCTCTCGACAAACGAACACTATTATGTGATACATTTTTAGTTGTGGGGTTTTTAAATATATAAAGAAATCTTTAGAAGATATTCTTTTTGCTTTTGCAGTTCCTACTGTATGTAAAAAGTCCTGTTTCTCCCCCCAAGAATTGGAGTTTCCACAGCCAGCATTAACAAATAAATAACTTATAACTGCTTGTCACCTTCTTTCTTCAGTCGACTGGAAAGAAGAAAAAAAGACAATCAGGCATCAGGCCAGGTAGGTGATGCGCAGGCTGGATCCCACTGCACGACCCTGCCTGCACCCCAAGGCCACAGGCACACGGCCTGGGCATCTCCTTATACCCACAAACCCTTGCCCACGGCCTCCGCCACCTCACCTGTAATAATCCTCCTGACTCGGTAGATGGCCACCATGCATGTGGGGGTGTCCATGCAGCCACTGCTGCTCCATGGCCAGTCTCTGCAGCTCAGCTGACTGGGCGTGCATGGCCTGCAGCTGGTGGGCTGCCGACATGGGGGGTGGGATGGCCCCAGGCAGGTCTCGGGGATAGGGGGTGCCTGTGGAGCACAGACACCTTGCTGCACACACAGCCAGGGAGCGTCCAGGACGAGGGCAGTGCACAGTGACCAGGAGAGGGGCCGGGAGGGCGCACCTGCCCAACTGCAAGGTGGAGCTGCCTTGGCAGACCAGAGCCACCGGGAGGAAGCAGGCTGCAGCAGCGCCCTGGCTGGCCCCCAAACCCCACACCCTTGCAGACAGTCCTCACTCCAAGCCTGCCTCGACCCCACAAGGACCCTGGCACTCGGAGGGTGCAAATCTATTCTTGTTCAGAGCAGACCCCAGCCAGCCTCCGGGGTGACTTACCGAAGACAGGGTGGCGCAGCATCTCGTGCTCGTGGGGGGGCTGACCCAGCAGAGGGCTGGGGAGGGTGCCGGGTGGGTAGGGGAAGCGAGCCAGGTGAGGGCCAGCAGTCAGGGGGTCAACCAAGGGATGAACTGGGCCTGCTGAGCCTAGAGAGGAGAGAGACCAGGTATGGCGCTCTCGGCATCTCTCCTCAAGTGGGTGAGTGACCCAGGACGGTCCCCTGGCCAAGCTGGCTGTACACACCCTCAACCTCTGGGCTGCTGCAGTCTCCTCTGCTACTGCCCACCCCTGACCAGCAACCCCTGGCCTGTGGCCCCTTGGGAGTGCGAGGTGGGGCAGCCTCTGCTGTGCCCTCCCTCCTCGCTGAGTGGGTCCCTCTAGCCGCCATCTGCACCACAGCCTGCCTTCCAGGCAAGTGCTGCCTCTGGCCCAGGATGGCTGTCCCTGGGCTGGCTGGTCTACTGGCCTTCAGGAGCTCCCCCTACATGACAACCCACAGCGTCTCTGGCTGGCCCAGTGCCATACTTGGACATCCCTTGCTCCAAAGGTCTCAAGGGCCTGTACTGCTTCCCAGGGAGCACCAACCGCTGCCCTTCGGCCTGTGCCCAGTCTAAGACTCTGGCCTCCCGGGAAGGCTGCTGCAGTTTCCTGGGCTCAGCTCTGAGAGCTGAGGCCTGGCTGAGCCCAGGGCTGCCTGCGCTCACACAGAAAGAACCCTGAGCGCCGGGTGCACACGGAAGCCCTGTCGGGAACCAGGGCTGGATGCAGAGTGGCACACCCTGCCCGTGGGCGTGTCCCCATTGCCAGCAGAGCACCCACCTTGGTGGAGGGGGTCCTGCTGGTGGAGGTGGAGGTGCGAGTGGATGTGGGAGTGCTGGTGGTGGTGCGGAGTCACATTGAACATCTGCAGCCGGGCCAGGGGGTCACTGGTAAGCGACGCCATGCGCTCGGCGTGGATGCGCTCGGCGGCCAGTCTGTCGGGGTAGCTCATTTCGGGCCGCAGCTGGGGGCCTGCCAAGGCCAGTCTCTCCCGCTCCAAGGGGTTCAGGCCCGGGTGGAAAGAGGCGAAAGGATGGGGGCCGGCCGAGGGCGGGATGGTGAGGGCACTGTGCCGTGCGAAGTGCTCCATGGGGTTGGTGGCTGGGTGCAGGGGGTCCAGCTCCGGGGGCTTCACCTCGAAGCCCGGCTTCATGCGCTCTCGCAGCTCCCGCTCCCGGATCTCCCGCTCCCGGATCTCCCGCTCCCGGAGCTCCCGCTCCCGGATGGTGGGGTCCACGTTGTAGAGGCCGGGCATGTGGTAGGCCAGCAGGGGATCAGTGGGGTTCAGGGGCATATAGAAGGGGTGGTTGCGGTTGGTGGGAGACATGACGTGGGGCCGAGCGTACTCGCTCAGTGTCCGCAGCGCCGGGGTGTCGGGCCCGATGTAGGGGGGCACGGCGGCGATGGTGGTTGGAGGCGGCTCGAAGGAGGGCCGCATGTGGCCTGGACCGCTGAGCTGAGGGTCACTGAGGCGGCCTTCGTGTGCAGAGCTGGATGCTTTCTGCTGAAGGAGAGAGGGCGTGAGGGCGGGCTGTCCGAGCCTGGAGCTCCAGAGGCGCCTCGGCCCGCTCCGGCCCTCCACCCTGACTGTGGCCTGCTGTGAGGGCCCCGCCTGCACCTCGCCCTGGCGCCCCAGAGGGCCTGTGCCCATCTGTGAGCCTGAAGGCCAGAGCCCACTATGTGCCCTGCGCGGCATTTCCGGGCAGGTGGACACCAAGCCACCCCAGCAGCAGGGGTGGCCACGCCCATCGTGAGGACACCCCAGGCAGCCGGCTGCTGGACGTCGCCCTCTGCACGCCTGCCCAGCGCGCGGGACTCACAGCTGCCCGCTCAGCCTCCCGCTCGCGCTCCCGCTCGCGCTCCCGCTCCTTCTCCTTCTCCCGCTCGCGCTCCTCTCGGGCTTTCTGCTCTGCCTCCCGTTTGGCCTTCTCGATGGCCTCCTCCCTCTTCTTGGATAGCTTGGACCCAGCCAGAGGCATGAAGTACAGGTCTGTCCGTGCGCACGAGTTGTAACCCCGGTCCAGGTGCTTGTAGAACCTACAAAGGCCTCGTGAGGACTGGGGCGGCTGCTGAGGCCCCGCCCCGCTGCCGCGTGACACCTGTGGTGCCCACCTGCACCTGCCCAGACCCCCAGGAGCCAATACCTGGCAGACTGGCTGGCGTGGCTGGGGGTGTCCACCACAGTGGGCTCAGGGGACGGGCTCCGCGGTGCGGGCGGGGGGCTCTCGGGCTCTTCGGCATCATCCAGAGCCTCCTCCTTGATCTGGACAGCGGGGAGTGGGCAGGGCGCCCCCCCTGGCGTGGTCCCCCCTGAAGACAGGGCAGCAGAGCAGGGAGGCTGGGCAGAGGTGCTGGGGCCCGCAGGCGGGGTAGAGGTGGGTGGACAGATGGGTGGGGTGCCACCTGGGCCAAAGGGGTGCTGGGTGAAGGGGGCCTGCGGGGGCCCCTGGTGGAGGCTGGCAGGGGCATGGGCAGGGGCAGGGGGTGCAAGACCCTGGCTCTGGGTCAGCCCAGGGGGCTGGGCCGGGGAGGAGGGTAGGGGCTGGCTCTGCGGCATGAGCTGCAGTGGCGGGGGGTGGGCTGAGGGCGGGTGGTGTGTGGACAGGGAGCTGAGGGGCTTCAGAGCGGGAGGGGGCGGCAGGTTGGCATTCATGGAGAAGGGGGAGGGCCCGGAGAGGTGTGGCGGGTGCTTGTGGGCCTGCGGGGCCGGGAGCTGGGGGATGGGCGTGGTGGGAGGGGGCTTGATGTGAGGCATGGCCAGGGGCGCCGGCGGCAGGGGCTGCTCGCGGGGGGGCTGTTGAGGCTGCAGCCCCGAAGAGGCCGGGAGCTGCAGGGCGGCATGGGGGTGAGCTGTGGCTGCGACAGCCCCCAGAGGGGCCTGTGCCTGGGCAGCCTGGGGAGGGAGGGCGAAGGGCTGCGGGGGGCCAGGGTGCTGCAGCAGTGACCCTGCCTGCAGGCCATGAGGGCCAGGCGGGCCCTGGCTGTGCAGACCCGGCTGGGTGTGGGCCGCAGGAGTCTGGCCCACGGGCCCACTCAGCGGCTGCAGCGGGGGGTGTGGCGAGGGCAGCCTCGGAGGGTGCAGCACGGGCGCCTGCTGGATGTGGCTGAGGGTGGCCTGCGCCGCGGGTGCTTGAGACTGGTTCGGGGGCTGTGCGGCTGCCAGGGAGCCCTGTGGAGGGGCTGCAGTAGTGGAGGGCGTGGGTCCTGGGGTGGGGAGCTGGGCGGTTCCTGGGGGCGCTGTTGGGGGAGCCTGCAAGGCTGGGGGCTGGGCCTGCAGCATCTGCTGCTGAGCAGAGGAGTCTGAGTCACTCTCATTGTCCTGAGGGCTGGGGATGCTGGGGGACGTGCTGCGATTGTCCTGGTCGATGTCTTTGGGGTCACTGCTACCCTCATCGTTGACACTGCGACTATCCGAGCTCTCTCCCTCCCCTTCGGAGGGCGAGTTGGGCCGGCTGAGCTCCTGGAGCCAGAGGAAGAAAGAGACCATCAGGGAGCAGAGCCTGTGGTCCACGATGCTGGTGCCCGGCAACAAGGAAGCCAAACAGAGGTAGCAGCCAGGTTGGCCCCTGGGCACCAGGCCCCTTCTGACCCCTCTAGCTTCTCTCCTGCCCCACGCTGTACCCCACTGTCCAGGCCTGAGCTCCCACTCTCCCTGGACACAGGCCCTGCTCCCCGTAGAGGAGCACAGGGTAGGCTCACCTGGGTTTTTGTCTTCTTGGAGCTGTTCCTGTCGGCCTCCTCTGTGTCAGACGCCACCTTCTCCCGCTGGCGCTTGGTGCTCTTGAGAGGCGACGAGGCCTCCTCCTTCACCTTCTGCAGCGCAAGGCCGGAGAGGATTCCTGAAGGCCACTGGCTCCCTCACTCTGAGCTCGTCTCCCAGAAGCAACGGAGCTCCAGAAGGGGCCCAGGCAGGCAGGGACGGGTGCCCGCGGTGGGAGCACGCGGCTCTGCAGCAAGGAGCCTTCCCAGCCACCCGAACCCTCTGCCTGAGATACGGGTGTCCCCAAGGAGCAGCACTGGGGGCAGAGTGGGGCCGTCCTCTCTCTTGGCCCTGGGCCTCCATGTGCAGCCCTGAGGCCAGGCTCCCACTCCCCAGCCCCTGACCTTGGCAGACTTCTTCACTGTCTCTGTTTTGCTGTCATTGCTGGAGGTGCTGGCAGCGCTGGGGGAGGTGCGACCGCTGGAGCGGATGTCTTCATTGATGGGAGAGGCAGGACCATCGGGGCTGGCGGGCTGCTTCTTCCGACCACTACGTAGTGTAGACATCTAACCCCAAACCAGAGGCTGGTGAGGCTGGAGCCCAGGCCCACGTGCACCACCCAAGCCCAGCCACAAGCAGGAGCCCCAAAGCAAGTCTTTGCAGCGGTAAGGACAGGTGGCCGGCGTGTTCCTCCCTGTGCACGCAGGTCAGCCCGGGTCCTGGGAGTAGGATGAATGGGCAGCTCAGGCAACAATGCAGGAGCCATTCTCAAACCCAAAGCACCTTCCCGGGCACCGTCCTGACCACTGTGATGGAGACCAGGAACAGGTAGGAGGCCCGCTGGGCCCCTACCCTAGACACACAGGTCATCTTTATTCCACACATCGCCCCCTCTCCCAACCTAAGCAAAGCAGAGCACTCCCATCAAGTCACTGACAGGATGGGAAGTGACAGAGCTAGAGCTTCCAATGCTGCAGCTCAGGCCACAGCACCTCCCCCATTCCGCTCCCTCAGGGCCCTTGTGGAGGCTGGCTCACTTCTCCCAGGCAGCAGCCAAGCTGCCTGCAGCCCTAACAGGACAGGAGGGTGGGGAGGGTGGACAGTCCCACCTACCCGGGAGTGCTAGGGGGAGGGAGCCGTCAGCATCCTCAGCCCTAAGCCTGGAAAATCCTCTCTCCACAGTTCTGCCCCTTTCCCAACCCATGAAACAAAGCTTCTTTATGAAAAAGCTAAGCAGTGAGCAGAGAAATGTACCAGGAGTTTCCAAAACTGGATCAAATGCCTGGGAAAAAATTAAAAGGAGCTTGCAAAGTTAATATAGCAGAAATGTGCCACACTGGGGGTGACTGACCAACGGGGTGCAGGGGTTCTGAGGGACCAGGAGAGCTGGCACTGGACGAGACCAAAGTGCTCTCTAGAGCGAAGTCAAGGTGTGCAGGCCACTGGCCCTGACCAAGGAAGACCTGGCTCCGCCAGGGAAGGCAACTCATCTCTACCTTTTCCCTTACCCAATAATAGTTACCGCACTGTAAAAAAAAACAACAAAAACCCACAGCCAAGCTGCCACCTTCAGGGAGAGGTCTGTTTCTCAACCTCACACTGGGCTCTTTACTTCTGCCCACAGCACCCATGAAGCAGAGCCGAGGCTGGGGACTCACCGAGCCCCGACTCCGCCGCGTCCTCATGCTATGCTTCCCACCGAGCCCATCGTCCTCCTCCTTGACAGGCTTGAACATGAACGGCGGGGGGTCCACCGGCTTCTCGATGGGTGGCAGCTCGCCGTACTTCTTGAAGTGGATGCGGCAGTCGGTGCAGAGCAGGATGTTCTCCCGGCCCCCGTGGTGCCAGTCTTTGGAGGCTGCATGAGGGCAGGGTGCCAATCTCAGAACCACCTCTCCCAGGGTGCCCGGGGGGAAAGGGCCCTTCTGTGGGCTGGGGCTGATGCTGCTACCACAGAGCACGTGCAGAGGACTTGTGCAAGCACCCGTGACTCAGACAACCCAGGGCCAGCAAAGGCTGCAGGGAGTCCACTGCCCTCTCTTTGGGGAGCACCTACGAGGAGATGCCAGTGCCTCTGCAGGAGCCCCCAACCTTGAGCACGTCCTTCCTAACCATGCTGACAGCTAAGCAGGGGAGCAAGGCTGTAAGGAAGCCTTCCCAGCACAGGGGAAACCTCCAATCGGTCAGTCTCTGTCAGGTTTCCCATCTGACAGGCAGTTTTGGGCACCCTAGGAGTGGACTGAGCCCCAGCCACCCCCAGGGACGCCATGTTGCCACTTACTGGTGGTGAAGCAGTGGCGGCAGGCGTACCCCTTCAACTCCTGCTCGCTGTCCTCACTGTCGAAGTCATCTTCGCTGGCTGAACTCAGGTCCACTGCAGAAGGCAGGCACAAGAGGGGAAGAGGGTGTTGTGGCTGTATCTAGCTGTCCCCCCAAAGCCTCATGTGATCATAGGTGGGGCTTTTCGGAGGAGGCTGGATCTAGGGTATGTGGTGCTGGGGTTAAACTGTGGGATGCTGGGATTAAAGGTGCATGATTAATAAATTTGTTCCCTGATTGGCTAAGCATAGCTCGGGGTGTGGATAATGGGAAGGCCCACCCTGGGCAGGTAGCCTAGAAATTAAAAGGAGAGGCTTCTTCTTGCTACCTTCTGCCTGCTGTGAACTGTTTCTCCTCTGTGATGCCCCTCTGCTCTGCCACCCTGCCTTGGAGCCAGCAGATTATGGACTGAAACCTCTATACACTGTGAGCCAAAATAACCCTTTCCTACTTTAACTGTGGGGGTCTCAGCAATGAAAAAGGTAACTAAGATGGAGAGACACTGTCATGCTCGGCCAGAACTGGGGCCACCCCGGGGCCCCATAGGAGGAGGCAAGAGCTCTGAATTCCTCAGGCATGGTCACCAGAGCTTTCGAGTGAGGGGCAGGACTTGAGGACCCACCCTGATATCACACCTGAGTTTCTGGGTGGCAGGCACTGGTGCTCAGACTAGAGAACCTAGACTAAGAAAAGTGCACCCACAGTGGCTTCCCTGGCACATCTGGACGTCCTGAGGAATTCCGCCCCTTGATTCTCACCAGTCCTACTAGGTGACCCCCAACGCTGTTGCTAAGTGCAACACAGGGCAACCCCAGGTGAGGTGTTCTGGGCCAGGGCAGAATGGCAAAGCGCTTCTGCTATGTTCCAGGTGTGTTCTCTGCTTGATTGGCTTTTTTCTTCTTCCTAGTACCGAGGACTGACCCAGGGCCATTCCACTGAGTCCTTATTCAAATTTTGAGACAGGATCTCTGTAAGTCCTGAGTGGCCCAGGCTGGGCTCTAGCTCAGGATTTTCCTGCCCCAGCCTCCCAGAGTGCTGGGATTACACACTGGGCCACATCCTAGTTTTTAGGAGTTACAGTGTACATTGCGCTGGGACTGGGAAGAAAAGCTTGGCAAAGCAGGAAGAAAAGGAAAACCACCAAAATGCAAGTGTGGTGAGACCGCACTCACACAGTGCGTCTTCTTCCGCTGAGTGGAAATCGCCTAGGCTGAGGCCCTGAAAACCTCAGGCCACAGCCAAACTGACATTCTCGTAAAAACTCAAAATGATTGGAAATATTTTATGTACAAATCATTTTTAAAGCTCTCCCTACTGAATCCCCCAACCTCAGGTCAGTACTACACTGGGCCAGGCTTCACGCACATACACACACACATGCCCCGCAGCGCACTGCTGGGTCCTGGCCCACATGTGGCGTGACCCCCATCTCCCAGCACAGTGCCAGGGCCCCACTTACAGAATTCACTGGAGGGTGGTCTGGAGGGCGTGTTGACCGGTGTGGACGCAGTCCGGGTCTTAATCCTCCTGAACACAGCCTGCCTGCGGTGCCGGCGATGGGCTCGGGAGCTGGCTGCTTCGGGGGTTTTCTTCCAGTAGTAATAGAAGGTGATCAGCTCCCCCTGCACAGAAGGCCGGCTGTGAGGGAGTGTGCAGAGAGGGAGGGGTCCCCCGGACACAGGAGACAGGGCAGCAAAGGCAGCTGGGAAAGAGCGGGACCCCGGGGCGGCGCCAGTGAACTCCCAGGCCCCGGTGTGCGGAGCCCCGAGAGCCCGGGACTACATGCAAGGGCACAGCAGCCATGAGCAGCCCGCCAGCTCACAGCAGGCAGCTCAGACACAGAGTGCACTTCCGCTGTTGCTCTTATCTTTTCCTCTCTCTTTGGCCTACGTTTGCTCTACAGACCCAGTTTTCCCCTTACTCCTTTAAGTAAACTTTTGGGACTGTTTTTGGCTGGGCAAGAAGGACCTGAAATACTTCTAACTGGTGAGCCGCTTCTCAAGGAACTACCCCACACCACCACACCTCTGCCAGGACAGGAAGCGGGTGGTAACCGCTCTGCTGGAGATGAGAACAAAGCCTGCTCCCAGAACTGTGGGAAAGGGCCAAGTGTGCCCAAGAAGCCCACCTGAGCCAGGTATGGCGGTACACACCTGAAATCCCACCACCTGGGGAGGCTGAGACAGGAGGACCACAAGTTCAAGCCCAGCCTGGGAAACTTAGCAACTTAGCCCAGCAGAGCTCAACTTCTAACATCAAAAACTCACCCTCACCTGGTATTTGCTGGGTGCATACAAGGTACCAGACACCACCGCTCCTGGCCTCTGGGAGTCCCAGCTATGTGACTGTGAGTACAAGTCAGTGTGCATTCAGGTGTGAACAGGCAGGGTATGCACAACATTCTAGCGAAATCACAAGTGTGCAGGGAAAAAGGCCCTACCCTAAGAACCAGGTCTGCAGCCTTCCGCTCCACGTGAATGCCCATAGCTGGGGCAGGAAGTCCCGAGGGCCAGGACTGGGCTGGATAGGAAGACAGAGGCCAGAAAACATCACCTGTCCCCAGGTCAGCCTACACGGTGCCCAAGAGCTGTTCTGTCTGTGGCCCTGCACAGCGGGAGGAAAGGCGCCTCCCTGAAAATACAACAGATAACACTTTTTACTAACGGGCACTGGTGGCAGCCCTGTCCCCACAGGGGTCCCGCAGACACCTGTCTCACAGGCACGAAAATGCTCATTCACTTAATCCTGGCTGACTCAAGGGCAACTTCTTGAAACAAACGCCCCAAGAAAAAAGTCTCGGTACCCAATCCTAGATCACGTTACTCTTCCCTCACTGAATCAATGGCAGACTCCCAGAGCAGAGCACCATCGTGCCCTCCTCAAGCCGCTGGCTCAGGAAGGAGACGATAAAAGAGAAGGGAGCCAAGGCCCAGCTGGAAAGAGAAGTGCTGGGAAGACTGCAAACACCGGGCACCAGCACCCACGGTGGACAGAGTGTGGAGCCAAGCCAATCCCTCAACAGCCCCAGGGCAACTGCCTTCGAACTTCATGACAAGAGCAGTGAGCAAATCTCAGGCTGGGAAAAGGCCTCTTTACACAAGGAAGGCAAGGAAGGCATACATGCCGAGCTCTTCCTGCATGGAGCTGGACTTCATGCCGGTGCATTTTCTAAGCAGGGGTTTGAAAAGCAAGACCGACCGGGCCTTCAGAGCATCTAGCGGGTATCTCACAGAGCCAGGGATGTGTTTCAACCTCACCCAGCGCTTAACAAAATGCTGCTGCCTGCCAACACCAACCAGGTCGAAGAAGCATTGCCCCAGTCAGGGCGAGGAGTGAGACACTCAAATCCACGCAGGCGCGCCTTGGTTCTACAGGGTGGTACTGAGCGACAAGGGAAGGTGTCGAATCTGCCTCTGGATCTGACATCTTTGACTTGTACTTTTGCACAAATGTGGGCTACTCAGTGGTGACCAGAGCATCCTTAGCCTGCCTAGCTCCTGCCACCCTACATCCTGCCTTCCTGACTGGGAAGACTCACCAGCCTGCGGGGTGGGGGTGGAGGCAAAGAGACTTTGCTCCGTGGGCAGAAAACTGAGTTGGCCCTGGCTCTGCAATGAGGAAATAAATAGAAAACAAAATGCAAGGCAGGTCACAGCCACCTTCAGAATCCTCACTTAGGTATCAGACCAGTGACTGGTCTGATAGATCACAGCCCAAGGCCAGACCTGAAACAATGAGGAAAACCCCACAGTACTTCCTTCCAGCTCCTCCTCTAGCCTGAGTCATTTCAGGGGCCAATGAGTGACAGAAACCTGGGACAGCAGAGGAAATTCAAAGCTTCAGGAGACAGAGGGAAGGAGATGGGGGCAGGGAATCAGGTGGGAAAGTGCTAGCTGGGTCTCTGCCACAGGTGCTGAGTTTGTGAGCTCTGTCTGAACCAATATGCCTCACGCAATTACAACTTGATCACCTCGACTTCTCAAATAGAAATGTTCTCAAAGGGACTCCTATGGTTTAAAAGATGGTATAACTTGCAGATTTAAGCTGCAGAAGCCAGGGTTCACTGAGGCTAAGAAGCTGGCCTCGTGCCACACGACGGACAGAAGAGAGGTTGCAGGAAAGCCAGCTGAGCACTTTCCACTTTACACCTGTGCTGTGCCCATCAGCAGGTGAGAAAATCAAGACTGAAAAGAAAGGAGCTTAACACTGAAATCTAGCCCAGCTTTTTGTCAGCATCTAAGTCACAGATTGTACACAAGAACAAGGAGTTTAGAACAGATTTCATCAGCTAAGTGCCAAGGACCAAACTGACCAGGCAAAGGGACCTATCCACAGGTCTGAATTCATTCTCAATGAGAAAATGAAAGAGTACAGATTTAACACTCAGGAAGGTAAAGGAGTGACTTGAACTCAGAAAGTGGTCACGTCCCTCTGTCTCTATTACGTTAGGCAAACACCCATCATACGACCCAGCAATTCTACTTCTGGTTGCTTGCCCCAAAATAAAAGCATGTTCACATAAGACTTTTACACAAACGTTCAAAGAACTTTATTCTCAACAGCTCCAAACTGGAAACAACACAAATGACTATCAGAAGGAAAATGGGTAGGGCCGGGGATTTAGCTCAGTGGTTCTGCTGCCTGCCTTGATAATGCAAGGCTCCTGTACCAAAAAAAAAAAAAAAAAAAGGGAAGGCGAATGGGTAACTCAATTGTGGCACAACCACCGACTGGAATACCACTTGAGTGATAAAGACACTGCTGATACAATAATGTGGGTGAATCCCCACTGAACGAAAGCAGCTAGACCAAAGGAAAGGAGAATTGATATGATTTCATTTTAGAAAAGGCAGGTCTGTAATCACAAAAAGCAGTGGGTGCCTTGAGCCTGGAGGTGGGGACAGGAAAGAGCTTGCAAAGGACCCAAATAAACACTGGGTGATGGAAATCATCTATAAATCGACATTGCTCTCCTATTTATCTGGATTATACAGCTGTCAAAACTTACAGAAGATGGGCCGGGGATTTAGCTCAATGGCAGCACACTTGCCTGGCAAGCACAAGGTCCTCAGTTTGATCCCGGTACCAGAAAAACAAAAAACTTACTGAAGAGTGCGCTCAGAATGGGTACATTTTTATCAGGTAACTACCACACATGGCACATATATCAATTACATGTCAATAAAATTGATGATACAACAACAAATCCAGGCCGGGTTTTATTAGCTGCCTCTCAACCACTGTAATGTCTACCAAGGGATTAACATTGGAATGGAGCGGATCTGGGAGGATTAGAGGCAGCGTATTGGTGTCTGCATGGGTGGCTAGGTCTTGAGCACAAACAAAAGAGCACATTGGGGGAAAGCTTTGGTTCTACAAATAGGGAGTGAAGCAGCTTGCAGCCTCGGTAGGAATGAAGTCAACTGAACTTTAATCAAACATGCATAGTGCATGCGGCAGAGGCCTGCTGCACATAAATTCAGGAACAAAAGCTGTTGCAGAAATCAATAGCTTACTGAAACATTAACAGAGGCAATCATTGATCAAAAGGCAGCTCCACAAAGGCAGCCTTGCAAATTAGCTCCTGCTTCTGCTTGAGAGCAAACACCAAGGTCTAAATGTTGTCCACTCGAATCGCCTTGATCATTTTGTTCCTTATGCTCTCACCTCGTCTCGCAACATGGCCTCAGAGCCAACATACCTGACAGCTCAGCGCCGTCACTGCACCCAGCTCGAGGAGCTAAACTGGGCAGAGCCAGGGCCCAAAAGGGAGAGGGGCGAAGCCGTCTCCAAGGGAGGTGCTCAAGCCCACTGGGCCTGTGTTCCACTGCTTCCCCAACTCCTTCTCTGTTCTTTTTTTTCAGGGGAGGGAAGGGAACCAACCCCACAGGTCATAAGCAAAAGGCCGCTAGCAGAAGAGCCCCACTCGCAGCAGCAGGACTCCAACCTAGCACAGGTATGCACAGGTACACACAGAGCGGGGTAGGAAAATAAGCGCCATCAGGTCCCTGGGCTTTACATGAAAAGGCAAGCCAGAGGAAGGGAGCCCACACTGAGGCCTGGAGAGAGGACAAGATGAGCTGCCCAGGGCAGTGCTATTGGTGGGTTGGGGAACTCAAGGAGAGAAGCAAAGTGGGGCAACTCAGTGGCAGCCTGCTACCTCCTCACCACCACTTGACTTCTACGCCGCCCCTCCCCCAAGTCAGCCTGTGGCCATCAAGGTCACTCCCGCCAAGCAGAACAGTCGGTGCTCCTCCACTGCTGGGCCAGTCTAGGACGCCGTGACGGGGACCAGGGCTGCCACCTCAGAGGCTTGGCAGTGCGGTCCAGGTAGGCAAGTGGGGGGTGCAGCCAGGAGCTGGCAGCCCTGCTGCAGGCAGTGGCCTGACAGGTCTCCTTCTTGTCTTACAAGCAGCTCCGGGACCTGCTGGCATTTAGTGAGACACAGCACTGCCTGCAACACCGCTGCTATTTAACTTCCCTCCGGCTCTGCAATCCTGAGAAGAGGGCACCTAGGACTTGTCCCGCCCAGCTTCTTACTTTCTGTAAGAGATGCTACACATCTTCTTTCTTCAGGGCCTAGCGGTGGCAGTGTAGAGCAGGCTGCTGAGGAGGGAAAGCC